TTAGTAGAGGTCAGAGTGTGCGATTGTATGGGTGAGGGTGTGGATTCGTAGAGGTCAGAGTGTGCGATTGTATGGGTGAGGGTGTGGGTTTGTAGAGGTGAGAGTGTGCGATTGTATGGGTGAGGGTGTGCGATTGTATGGGTGAGGGTGTGCGATTGTATGGGTGAGTGTAAAGATTGTACATCTAGGAGTGTTGATTGGTTTGTATGGGTGAGGATGTGGTCTTATATTAAAGTAGATATTCATTGATTTTAAAAACGAACTTTATTTTCATTATTGCAAAGTTGAAACTTTGATTCGACAAGGTTATCAAAATGAAATGCTTGGAAACATTCGAAGTAACGATTATTATAAATTACAAAAAACGTTTAAATACAGCCCCGGCATAGCACCTGAAGAGCTATCCGAACGCTGCTGAGACGTGTGAGATCACAGTATGGACATGACTTGCACAAGCAGACGATGCGCCATGACATCTCACACATTTTCAGTGCCTGTGTTTTCATCTTCTCTTGAGTTCTTTCTCTTACTTCACTACCGTCAGGGTAAATGTATAATCTATTGCCTCACTCTAAACCCTGCACATGGTTTTATTTTGATGACAAATGCAGCGATACGAAAATAAAGGAATCTGTCGCTTGTAAACAAAATAAGACGCCATTGTATATTCAGCTGCACACACCGGGGTATGTTCGGCGTTTCAGGAGAGAACAAATGCCGTCCTTAATATCATTCCGGGGGCTTTTTAATTTGAAAGTCGGGTTTCTTTGATTATTAATTAACCCCTATCCTGTGTATTTACAAGAAAAAGATTTTAGTTACCAGAATCGGGTCATATCCCCTTTTGAATGATTTGACATGCCATTACATCTATATAAACTAAACTCATTATAATTTGACAAATAATAGCTTTGCTATTATGTTCATTCTCTATGGGATGTCGTCTGCTTGGGCAGTGTTGGTCCATATAGTGACGTCATTAAAACATCGTTATTTTTCCGGCGAATCTCTCGTATATCCCAGCTGCTATGGAGGAAGTTGTATTTGTATTTGTATAATCACCCGATATGTAGTTGACCTATAACTTGTACGATGGCCATCTGTTAGCTTACCAGTTTCTAGTGATACATTAGTTGACATATTTGGGATTTTCTTTGAATTTCACCTTTAATTGTTGTTAGGATGTACGTTGGATGGCATGGGTGCGTGTGCGGATTGTATTAAGTAGGTTTTAGATAGGTGAGAAAGTTTTTTTTTGTGAGAGTATGACCGGGTTTGTATGAATAAGGGAATGTGGTTTTGAGGGTGATAGTGACGGGTTATGACGGTTATGCGACGGATGCTTACGTAAACACATTATGGGAAGGTGTCCAGCAAAAAATGCTTTACGCATGACGTAGGCCTACTACGAAATAGCCTCTCTCTCTCTCTCTAAAATGAGTCTTTCCCCCACGCCTCTCATTCAAAATATGTTTGCTTGAGCCTGAAATAAAAATATGTCAACTGAGAAACAGACAGAAAATGGCAGCTGGAATATTGGTTCCAAGGGCTAAAGCCAAGACATATATCCTCATGCACTAATATAATAAAGTAATAATTATGTTATCGTGGGACCAATTGTACAGGTTTAAGATCGACCAATCTTTAGCAGAGTGAGGTGATAGCCATTTGTCTAATATAAATCTTAAACCCTGAGTATTATGACCCATGATAAGTGAATACCTTATTTTGTCAATGTGGAAAGTATACAACTAGCGAATGGGAGCAATGTGAAGGGCTGGCCCCATCACCGATAAGATTATATTACTGCGTGAAGCTTGATATATTGATTTTTTTATCAAATTTTTGCTATGCCCAATGTACCTTCAGCACTAGCACCGATGTTTCAAAAAGTCAAGAGACCTTTTTCTAGATTTAGCTTTCTCGATCTATCGTTATCGACGAAATGGGACTTTTAATGATAACATGACTAAATGGAGTGGCAGGATATCATGAAGCGGAAATCATCAAAGTCACTTGTCACGTTTAATGGGCCTGCATATTGATAAATACAGACCTTCTCATAAAAAATGGAATTCATCATAACAATTTGAGGGCCATCGTATTCAGTAGTATGTGACACTTAAAATTATACCAAGGTCGATGGCATAGAAATTATTACTTTAAATTATTTCATTTTTGCTAGGTTTGATTTCCCTTTTGATGTTATCGGCTGGTAACACACAATCTTAGTTTATTGTTTGAAATGTTCACATGTATCATGTATTCAGATTGTCAGAGGGAGTATATTGATTGATTGATCGATTTTATTTCATTTCATATAACAATTGTTTGCACAATAAAGAACACAGTTTACAAAGTAAGTTCAAAATAATGAAATGAAACAGGAACTTACTGGAAAGCATAGCTGGTTTTTTGTAGGTTCTTAATAATAAATATAATATGAACATTATTTTCATAAATCATTTTAAATTGTCCTAATAATCACAGTGCAATAGATATAATATAATAACATATTTTCATAAACCCTTTAAATGTATTTAAATAGTCGAAATATACAAAAAGAACAGAATAACAAAACGGGACACAAAGGATAGGAAACTGACATAATACGATGAGACAAGACATGACAAAACAACTCATAACAGGACAAGACAAAGCAAGACATGCCAGGACAAAACAAGACGAAGACGAGACAAAAACAAAGCTGCACACTACAGAAATTAGAAGAAGAGAGAGAAAGAGCGAGAGAGTGTGAAACGGAAGAGACACGAGAAATTTGACCTGTAGGAGACATGAATTTTTGTATTAAATTCTTTTGAACCCTCTACTAAAACTATAGTACGTGGGTTTATCTGTAACAGTATCTGTAAGAGAGTTCCAAAGTTTTGAGGCTGAAAATACAAATAATTTATTTGACAGCAAAGTTCTTGTTTTTGGTAGATGAAAAAGCCCGGCAGACCGAGTAGGATAATGATGAATATTGACATACTTTGTAAATATTGAATAAAAAACATCTTGCAGTTCCTATCTATTTAATTATACATTTATAAATTTGCTCCCGAAAATTTGAAAATCGCGCCGGCCGAAAAGTCGCTCAGTGAGGGGGGGGGGGGGGGGGGGGGGGTGTAATAAAAAAAAGGAAGGGAAGGGGGGGGGGGTCACAAAAAACATACACAAAAAAACACATAAAAAAACTCAAGGGGGGAGTTAACCCCAACCCCCCCCCCCCCCCCCCCCCCCTGCGTACGCGCCTGGAAAGACATATAACACGCAGCGCTTTTTTCTGAAGTAACAAAATTCTATTTAAATGATAGTCAGCACAATTGCCCCACGCTATAATTCCGTAGTTTAAGTATGGGAAGATCAACGTTGAATACAGGTTTAATAATATTTATAAAATGGCTGTAGTATTTTAATCATCGTGATTGGTCCATACGCGTCACATGACAGCACCAATTTTTGATGCATGCATGATCATGCAAAAAAAAGCGCAACAAAAGTTATATCCCACGTTAATATTGATATTCAGCGCGTACGCAAAGCTAGTATATAATGGGTCTTACTCGTTGTATTTAAAAAAAAAAAATTATCAATTCATTTTGTTTCTTCATTCAATTCGTTTTTTGGTCTTACTGCAATTCTAGGCATGCATCCAGGGGCTTAATTCTTTTATGTTCTGGGCTGGGTTGGCTCAGTCATACAATTATGGAATCAGTCTACAGCCAGCTTCCACACTATTATCATAACAAAGACTGTCCTGGCTTTGGCTATAAAAACAAACCCTAAAACCGGGCATATGGTGGCTCAGTGGTTAGAGCGCCGCCTCATGAACGGGAGGTCGTGGGTTCGAACCCCGGCCGAGTCATATCAAAGACTTATAACAATGGGACCTTCTGCCTTCTAGCTAGGCACTCATCATATTAGATTGGAGAAGGGTAGTAATAACATATTATGTTATGCAGGGCACGCTGGAAGAGCAGTTTCATAACTGAAGTGGCTACCCTGGGTAAATAAAACGTTATTATTTGTATTATTATTATTATTATAAAACATGGAAAATAATCGAGATTATGACAATTTTATTAATCAACAAGACCACTTACAAATGAATGCGTCTCTATCACTATCTTTCCACTTATCCGTTCATCTCTCCCTTTATTCTTCTTCTTCTTCTGTTTATCAAGGGGCACGTGACCCCACCCTTAGAGCTATACCATTCAACATGGGTATTAAAGGGAGTGTGTCATGGCAAATGCTCGCCGTCTACGTCTTCTTTTGGACAACTGCACGTAAACGAATGGACTTGATTAACTAGGTCAGCGCGCGCTTAACTGGGTCAGTGCGCGCTAGCGTTAGCGAAACAGACCGAAGTTCTCCTCACGCTTCGGTTTCGCATTATTATGTTGCACGCACACGAATGCTGCGGTCGCGTCGTCCGTAGTCGTATTATACCCGATTGGCCCCGGGTAGGGCCACGGGAAAGACACATAGTCTCGTCATGACACACTCCCTTTAAAGGGGAAGTCCACCCTGAAATTAAGTTAGTTTTAATAGGAGTAGAAAAATGAGAGAAACAAGTCAGTGAAAGTTTGAGCAAATTCCGATTAAAAATAAGGAAGTTAGGATTTTTTAAGTTGTGATCAATCAAACACAAATTGGCAACTCTATGACGTATCATGCGAGCTCAACTTCCATTTGCTCAGTACTAAAAAAATCTAAAATTTTCATTTTCCCTCAAGAAAAATTTCAACCATACATGCACCCTAAATATAATAATTGCAAATATGTTTCTATACTCCCCCTGCAAGGAACAAATATATATTCCGTCATCAATAACGAAGAAAACATGATTTTATGGAATATTATGCACAAAGCAAATGAAGGAGAGCTCGTATAATAAGTCACAGAGTTGCCAATTTGTATTTGATTGATCACAACTTCAATAATTCATAACTTTCTTATTTTCATTCAGAATTCGCTCAAACTTTCACTCACCTGATTTTCTTATTATTCTGCCTCTATCGAAACAAACTTATTTTGGGGGTGGACTTTCCCTTTAATATCCATACAGGCCTGTCCAGAACTTTCATTATAAAATATCCTACCCAAATGCGCTATACCGTGGAAAGGAATGAACACTGCCAAGCGATTTATTGAAAACTGATTAAGAACGCTAAAATATGGAGTTGCATGTCGGCCTATATGGTTGTCCGAAATAGAGTAATATTATCATAAAACTCTTTAAATTCTTCTCCCTCACAGAAACCCCAACTTTATGATACTATTTTAAATAAACATCTTTTTACAAAATTGTACGTACTACGTGAAATACCTGATTACAGCACTAGTTGTTCGATTAAAGACCCTGTCGGAAAGGGGAAATTAAATTTGAATTAAATATCAACAGAAAGTTCAGTGCCTGTCAGAGGAGTAACAGCTCTCTAATAACTCGACATCTATTTAGCTTTTGAAAACCTAACGACTACCTATAGACTTGATGACATCATCAGTACCTATATTCACAATGAATTTTAATTCATTTAACACGGGTCATCACCTCGGCAACATCAGCGAGCCAATCGGGTCCACATTTTATGTAACTGCGTCAAATTGTACCCCTGTTAAATTTTAATTTGGAGAGATGCGAAAAAGGAGGTTTTAATTTACTTTTGTGCAATACTGAAAGGGAAATTATTTGTATTCCTTTATATATATTTTATTTTCATCGGATGGGGGGGTCTTTATAAATATCATAAATACCACATGCTAGCATTCTTAAACCTTTCTATCTTAATATCATGTCCTTTTATCCAGTTGTTGTGTACAACGATCGGTTCTATGTTGGCATGTTTCTCTCTCCATTCCACATTAAAATAATCATTTCCATTTGGGAACTGTCTTTGATCCAGATATTTCAATTTGAGTGTATTTCGAATAGTTCTGTTACGTAACAAATGATTCAGTAGTTGTTGATCAGGTATCTCGGGTCGAGCGTGGATGCGTTGGATCCATTTAACAATTAAATCAGTCGTAGCTTTGGTGGCACGGTAGTACACGAAACCCGCACACACCAAGTCCGGTTTCGTCTGATCGTCGTAGATGTCCCTTCCGAAGTACAAATCGTAACCGCCCTCGAAGAACGGTAAGGGGTTCTTGAGCCATACCGTATCCACATCTGAAAAGAGGACGTCGGTGCCCCTTTGTAAGTACCGCAGAATATAATTGGGTCTTTTGTTAACTAAACGAAGATAGTCTTGTGATCCGAAAGCAAGATCACTGTCAGGTAAGTTGGTTTTACTCGTCAGCAATAGTTCTAGATTGATATCATGTCTCTTGGCTAGGATTTCATATGTGGAAGGATCTTCAGCTATTATAGTCACGTGGTCCCTGACGTTGCATCGCTTTAGGCTCTCAATCCAGTTCTCTGTAAAGTCCAAGAAGGCTTTATTGGTTGTGGCCAATATGATTCGAGGTCTTGGTCTAGGCCTAGAATGGGTCGGAGTAGGCTTTCTAGTCGTTGAGTTTTCTCTACATTTGTCGATTTGTAAAGGTAGTCTACCATTGTTTGAGAGACTAGCAGCAGTCGGACTGGCCGCAGGAGCTTTATATGGGATGGCCCTCTCTCTCTTCGCGGCAGACCCTGTATGAAAATAATGAAAGCAAATACAATAAAACACATCTTCATTGCATAACCGAACGAATACAAAGATATGAAAATATGAGAACTCAGAAAAGGAGAGAGAGAGAGAGAGAGAGAGAGAGCGGTATCATGCATAGAATGCAGAAGGAGAAAAAGAATATTGCAAGATAGTCCCCTAACGGTAATACCAAGTTTGGGGAAATTCTGCAAATTGAGTGGATAGTGATTCTTTTCAATTTTGATATATTTGGATGCCCCTGTGGGTGTATAATAAGCACTAGTAAAGTTAGCTCCTAAAAAACTTCTGCTTTCGAGAAAAATAACATATAAAAATGTACCGGTGCTCCCGGTAAGTTTTGATGAATTTCAAATAGCGCCTACGGCCGTACAATGGTAGCTGCGACCATGGAATCTCGGAATATGTAGTTGTGATATATATTTTCCAAACGGAAATACCTAATAGGTCGATTTAAGTCAAGAAACATTGTTTAATAGCTTAGCTAATATGTTGACCTTTAGAGGGAGCTATACAACATGAAGAGTTTATTATTTTCAATTTTCAATTATTTACAATTTCATAACTTTAGACTCGATTTCAACCGCGACAACGATCACTGAATATTGTAGGATCGTATATGCTTCCAATAAATTCATGACCTCATGCCAAAAACTTTGTATTACCTTTAAGTCGGCTTAGAAAAGATGAAAAACATTTAAGCGTATTTGTTATCATTACCACATTGTCATTCTTGAATTTTTATATAGTTTTTTGTTTGTTTGAAAACTTACGTGGTACTGCATGCCATCCAAGGTAGAAGCTTAGAACGGCGAAACTTAGCAAGAAGACGACTTTTATCTGGAAAAGACAACAACAACAAAACAAACAGATAATAACGTGTAGCCACTATTTCCAAGTTAAAAGAACCAACACATATTTGTTCATTAGAACCAAGTTATAACCAACTTCTGGTAATTAGAACGTCCTGTTGCTAGGCTATAGTTTGGTAATTAAAATGTGCAGACAATAGCATCGTTGTTAGGATAAGGTTCAGTCATAAATTAATTGGGTTTACTTGGACTGTTTAATTTGGTTGGATTAAGCAACTGCTTTAGTGAACACTATTCAATGTCAATATAGGAAGCAACTTATTATTACATTAAATAAATAGCAAAATGATAATAATGATAAATGACAATAATGATGATATTGAAAATGATAGTAATAATGATAATACTAATATTAAAATTAATGATATTAATAATAATGATAACGATAATAATAATAATGACAGTAATACTGATAACGATAATAATGATAATGATAATATTAATAATAATGATAATAATAATAATGATAATGATAATGATGATGATGGTTGGTTTCTAATTTAGCCCCATCAGCATTAAAACTGCTCTTCCTGCGGGCCCTGCAATTATTATTACATAGAACCCTCGTATGAGAGTTACGAAGAGCCTTCACCAGATTAACACATGAAACTTCCTTTTATTTGTATAAACACTTTTACTGGATCTTTCTGTGCAAACAAAAAACTATGGTTAAAAAGGGTTAGTTCAAATACTATAAGATGCCATGTATACCAGCGGTAATACATAACTTTAGATGTATTATGTGTTGACTTGGTCTAAGGATATCAACGAATAAACTGGTTATTAATAATACATCTTATAAAGTCATCTTATATTTGCCGACAGTTTCTTCAATCTCTAGTCGTACTTACCCCTACACGCAGTGTGTTTTTCCTCATCTTGGTCTGATTATTAGCAGGTGTTCCTCTGCTCCTTTGTTTCAAACGATAGGAAAACATAGTCAGTGGAGGTTCGTTAGATAATACATGGCGAATACCGAGGGTTTCAAATAAATTATTATTGTCCCAACCAAATTATCAAGTCAACACAAATGTTGGATCGCTCGAACAATATTTTTCTTTTAGAAGTAATACCTACTTTAATATGCATCAAACGTCGAAGGAAATAACGAGAATAAAACTTTGAAAAATTACTCACAAATCTTTTCTACAAGTTTCTGTTTTCTTGACTCCCAGATCAAGCATCAAATATCAGAGAGAATTGATAAGGTCTTGTCGTTTTTTTATAAGCTTGTACCATTGGACTGAAAAACAACTGATCGGTTTATGGAAAAAACGCACCTCGCACAATCATATCTATAATAAGGATGATCGTGGAGTGAATTTTCGTCATGAAGCAATTTTAAGTGTATTCCACAACATCCCACTTATGCATGATCGATGGTTTATTTATAATTCCTGGTGGCATACAAACTGTAATTAGCAGCCAATGGCTGAATTGTTCACAATCTTAACGTCATTGAATGGAGCGCACATCAGGGCCAGTCTCATCAAAAGGTAATATGAATCGCAACTTAAAGTTGTGATTGATTTCTATCGCAACTATGTGCATAAGAGAAAAGAGACTAAAAACTTGCAATCGATTAGAAGACTTGCGATTGATTTGGATCAATTAGAACTCTGTATAAGTAGCTCGCCCCATACACTGGTGAATTATTATTCTAGAATATCTCTTCTAGTGCCCACCCACACCTTTGTGTCAACATTTGTTTGCACTCTTAATATTTATGCGCTTCGAGTGTCTTTCTGAAATTGTCAAAATATTTCATTCTTTAAACACTGTGGAGTATCCTGACATTTAGTTTTTCTCCTAAATATCAAGATGGTAGCAAACGAAGGAAGAGGTGGATTTGTAAACAGGTGTGTGTGGGGGGAGGGGGTGCATGCGCGGCTGATCAAAAGCACCTAACCGTGTACGGTTCTTAGTTCCGAAAATGCATTGGGGTGCGGACAAATGTTAGTATAGTGGAGTTAGCTACAGAAACTAAGGAAATGTGTGTTTCCTGCCCCCCCCCGCTCCCCTCCCCCATACGAATCCTGAGTGGTATGATTACAATATCGCAATCAGGGCTGACCTCCTTATTGTTTTGGCACTTGAAAATGTTTTCCTCATCTGGAAAGGTTAAATTAACCTCAATACTATTTCCAGTGGCGTACGCAGGATTTTTTTCAAGGTTTTTTCTTAAATCGGGCCCAAAATTTCGCAACGACTTAGCCAGCCGCTGAATAAGCGGGTAGGGGAGGGGGGGGGGGGGGAGGTTTTAAGATCTCGAAATTTGAAAATTAGACATTTTGTTCCGTGGGGGGGGATAAGGTCACCATTTTTAGGTCAGCCTTTGGCATAATAGTTTTTTTTTTTCTTTATTATTATTACACAAAAAAAAATCAAAATCAAAAAATCAAAAGGGGGGGGGGTTGCCCTAAAAACATACACAAAACATACACATACAAAACCCAAGGGAAGGGGGGAGGGTTTAACACCCCCCCCCCCCCCCCCCCCCCCCCCCCCTACGTACGCGCCTGACTATTTCCACGAGAAACGGTACCTTATAGATTTTTTTTCTTTTTTCTAGACGCGGCTCTCAACTGGAATATTGAAACGTGCCGTGTCATTTACTTTGATCTTTTTTTTCTCGGACATAAGACAAGTCAAAGAGTGAAGTAGACCTACTGAACCCTATATATGGAAGTGAAAATATAACATTATTTAAATGATAGAGTTTCATAGGTAGGAAGGAATTCCTTAAAATGCTGTGAGCGTCGAAATTGGCAGCCTAGCATAGGCGGGTAATGTTGGAGCGCCTTGAGGACCTTGTAAGGTCGATACGTGCGCTATATAAGAATCCAATATTATTATTAATACGTTGCGAATGAGACTGGAAGCTATCGGAACAGGATTATGAAGTACATAGAAATTGATGTATGCTGTGATGTTTTGGTATGATAATAAAATGATCTATTTCTGATTTTAAAAACAAATTAAACAAAATGCCGGCCCTCTTGAAAAATATCCCCGACTCTCAGGGAAAATGTACCCAGCGGCCATTTTGAGCGGCCATTTTGAGCGGCCATTTTGAGCGGCCATTTTGAGCAGCCATTTTGAATTTAAAAAAGAATTTAAAAAGGGCCTCCTCCTTCCTACTTTTCAAAAAGGCAGGAGGCTAAACATGTTTTGTTTTTTATTTGACCTTACAGACACCGCCATGCAAAACCTCAACTTTAAAGATCATCAGATAGAGACAGAAAGACGGAGAGAGAGCGAGAGAGAGAGAGAGAGAGAGAGAGAGAGAATGTTTTTTTAAATTGTTTAAACCAACATCATTGCACCAAAGCCTAAACGCGATGATACGTGCACTGATCAAAGTGCATAAAAATAGTAACCTGATTAATGATTGACTAAAATAACTAAAGATAATTAACTAATAATTGTGTGCATTATAAATCAAATTGTTTGATATAAACTATGATATTTTATTTTATATTCTGCATGACCATGCTGACATTGTTAGGTACGAATATCAAAAGTTTGAAAACAATAGTTGACAAGATCTTTTGATAGGGATTGAAATTGTGAATGATTTCACAATGTGGTCCTATTTACAAAGCATTCAGAACATTAATGATACTTCTTGCTGATTATGTTCTAAACAGAGATTAATTTCAATTGTGCATTGATAAAATTCATGGGACTGCTGGAATTATGACTTACTTCGATTATATACACAATCATGTAGAAAATGTAAACACTATTATAGAAAACATTACATTTAGTGAAGGAAAAGAAATAAAGTTGCAACTAAATCAGATTATTTCGTTATTAAATTTAAACGTAAACAAAGCTTAAAACCTAAATTTGATGAATTAACTCTGATCATTGAAGTACTACATATGGAATTGCAATGAATTCAAATAATACATTCATTTTTATCGAATGCGTCCTAAGAATAATTCATACGTTCATTGTGTTTATCGATCTGCTAGAATTAGATTTGGGTTTGATTTTGATAATTCACTTATGAATGATTAATCGTAAAAGCAGTTATTACTACCATTCTTTAATCTGCTAGAAATTCAATACTGAGTATATTTGATTATTCAATGTACATAAATATAGGGCTATGTACTCGAAGCATAAAAACAATACATATTACGATTCATTTGATCTTTCGAATTAAAATTGCAGTGTGAGAAAATAATTAAAAAGCAGTCAAAATAGCAGCAATTAACCCGCGGTAATAGATTAATATTGACCAAAAAATATTTTCATTTTACAACGAAGTCGAAGAACCATCTTATATTGTATGTCTTACCTGATGTTCTCCATCAGCCTCGCATTCATATCATACTGTGTATAAAGATCCAGGAAGTTGTCGTCGTCATTTCTGCACATCTTATAATGAGATCTTTCTCTGTTGTTACATTCAATTATAAAGGTATCATGGTCTGTCCAGTCGATGTTGTTGTTTGCATAGTTAGTAACTATCGTCCAATGTTTGCTTGTTTAATTGATACTAGCCTCATACGCACACTGCGTAATACGTTATTCTCATTCCCCATCCCGCAGAATTATAATCAAACAGTAGCAAAGTTCACTGTGTGACTCGTTGAGATGAAGTACCAGTGTAAAGGTCATATCTTCTTTCAAGTTTCCTCACTCAATACTTGGAAGCTAGGGTTGGAGCCAATTAAAGTACCACTCGCCCACCAGGGAACTAACTCTGGAGTGGCTATTAAAGAGCCATATTTTCAGCTCCTTTCATTGAAAAACTCTATGTAGCGATCATTGGCGAAGCTAACAGGTGGGGAACTACCCCCTGTTAAATTGATAGGTGACGGGTGAAAGACAGGAAAAAATGGAGAGAGAGAGAGAGAGAGAGAGAGAGAGATGGATGGATAAAGAAAGAAGGAGAGAGAGAAAGAGAGCGAAAGAAAGGAAGGGGGAAAGTAGAGAGTGATGCAACATGAAAAGAAGTTAATACCAACCCCCTTAGTAAAACCAAAACCAAATTAATCGTTTTCCTTGTTCATTAACATCTCATCTGCATAATACTACTGATGCCCCTCCCCCAATTTTTACGCCTCTTATACCCACGATAAGCTACGACACTGGTATTGATTGTTAATGAGGACCTCATTGAGAATATATAAAAAAAAACTAATAGCCAAAAGGCACAGAGAGAGAGAGAGAGACAGGGACAGATAGGGAGAGAGGGAGAGAGAGCTAGCGGAGAATGAAAATGCAGAAGATAGTAAATTCAACTGATTAACAATAATTATAATAATAATGATACTCATAGTAATAATGGGAACAATGATAATGATAATGATGATAATGATAATAATACTGATAATAATGATGATAATGGCGAACATAATTATTATAACAACAATAATTTTAAAAATGATTAAAATGATTTAACTACCCTTCATGACTTCAAATTTGCTCTAAAAACCCATCTCTTTCTAAACAGTGCTATGTAAGCATGTTAATGTAGCGTAATAATTTGTGTTGTTTAAGTTTACTTTATTGTAGTTAAGAAGTTATATTTTTGTGATTAGTAATGTGTACAGCGTCAGAGCCTGGCGGATACCGGCGCTATATAAATATCCATATTATTATTATACAAAAAGTGTTTTAAGACATTTTCACTTTCATCTTCAATATCATAACCATGTATTTCAAAAATCAGCCCTCCCCCACCCCACCCCCCCCCCCCCCCCCCCCCTCACCGCAGGTTATCACGGTATGACGCCAGCACTTATTGTGGTACCCCTTCTTCTGCATATTTCTTACTGAATAATTCTTGTTAGTGTGTTTGTTACATTTCGTTTTAATGTGAACAGCACATCCAAAGGAATCCACTTATATTTGGATGTCACCCGACCTTTGATCCAGTGGACTGCGTTATCACTGCTGATGTTCAAGTCCACATTTTAATTTTCTTTTGTGAGATTCAGATTTAAGATACAATTGTTATCGATTGTGCTTTTATTTGAAGTACTTATGGTATGGGTCGGAAATACAAAAGGGCAATTATTGAATTACACGTAGGCGTATCACTACTGTCAATGACAATTTCAAAGAAGATATATAACATATAGAGGGAGACATAGCCAGTGAACATGGTAGCGTGTTTAATTTCTCATCTGCCGTGTTTATTTTTGATGCATATAAATCTCAAAGGGCATTGGTAATTAATTTGTGACTAAATTATAATGGATGTTAATTCTAGAAGTGTTTTCTATAAAAGGAGAGTAGACATAATTTATTGACGAGTTTTCATGGGAATATGATAAAATACGAGTTTGTTGTGTCCATGTCGCTGTATAAATTTATGTCCGTCTATTCCGCTCTCTCTCTCTCTCTCCCTCCCTCTCTCTTTCTCTCTCTCTCTCTCTCTTTTCATCCTCTCATTTTCTCATTCTGTCTCTCTAATTTCTCCTTTTCTCTGTCTGTGCCTCTTTACCCATCTCTTAATCCTTATAGGGAAAGAAGGGAAGACAATGGTTAGAGATCAATAAGAGACAGAGAGTGGAGAGAAAGATAAAGACCGTGTGTCGACATTGTATAAAGGTGGAAGATGGTGGAGGGAGGGTTTGCGACAGAGAAATAAAAAAACAACAACAAGAGGATAAATGACTTCTGGTAGTTAGTTATCTTAATCAGTCAAATTTGTATTACTACCACCACGAATAAAGTAGGCCTTCAGGTTAAGACTTTATTTTGGAAATAACAAAACTTTGACGACATTAAAGTTTTAATTTTGTTTATCGTCTAAGGAAGGGGTTAGGGGATCGAGAAAAAAATGAGATTTAAAATTTGTATAATTCAGGGTATCATCGGCATCGTGCAACCTTGTTAAATGTGTACAAAAAATGGATTTAAAACAAGTACCTGTATTTTATATTTTCTTAGATTTTTCTTTGAAAAGACTGATAATTTAGAGTATCTCCTTACTATTATGACTTTGCATACAACTATTAAAGATAAAGACCAGTTATGGGAATGCGATTGCATTGTGAAAGAAACGTTGTGGAATCGATCAGAAAAGGTTGATCATCTAGCGTATAAGTATTAGTGTGTACTGCAAGGTTCTGGAATCATCAAAATGATAAGAAATTTGGCCTAGTCTTCGTAAAGTTACAAGCACTGTACACAGAAAGATGTATATGGGACTACGCACACGTGCGCGACATGTGCGTTTATCTCTCACACACCAATAGATAAATTAATTTACCAAATATATTAATTAGTAGGCGGTTTCCCGGCAAAAATGTTATCATCATGTATTAGTCAAAACATATTCTTTCACATGATTGGTAATAAGAGCTTCCATTTCATTTTTTGAAATTGGGTCGTTTCCAATACTGGTCTTTACCTTTAATACTAACTTGTATTGTATTTATTAAACTTCATTGATGTACCTACATCAATATTCTCCTTATAAATATATAAATCAATTTAAAATGTAATTTAACAAATCAATATTCTGTATTGATATAAAGACAATGTCAAGGAATACTTTACTATCACTAAGTGGATCGTGTTTACAAACTACACTAGATATCAAGTTCCAGTACTATTAGGCCTACGTATGACGTAGTCGCGAGCTTCGCGTCATGAATAATTCATATGGCGTTTGAATTATTAATCGAAATTTCCCTTCATTTTAGTAATAAGAGGTCTACATTCACGATTTTCCCAATTTAATCTCGCGTCATTACAATGTTTATATTGTAGATTCATCATAGACAACTTATAATAATAATAATTAAACGGTGCTTAAAAGTGCTTTCCACCGAAGTCTCTCAGCGCTATAACAAACAAAATACAATGACAAACATTTACATATTAAACAAAAATCACAAATAAACCTAAAGATTACAATACATATGAAATACACATCAACGTGAACAGCATTAGAGGATGGGAGTCTATATATACATATTGACAAGTATGATTAAATATCAATAGCACTCGCAAAATTAACCATCAATCAACTGCATCTGAATAAAATTTGATGTTGATGTCAGAATATCATAATGAGGTCGCTTTATTCTGGTGTGGTAGAGCATGCTGAACCAAGGACATAGGCTGTGTGTGCGATGGGTTCGGTTTGGAAGCAATATACGAGACATAGCCTACGCGTCCATCGATCGATTTTGTGAAAAACAGGTGGAGAAACGCACAAATTAATAGGAGATAATAGGGTGTATACGAGGAGATCAGAGAGCAACGTATAGGGCCTATTTACTATATCATAAATATCAAGTACGATTCAACTAATATTGATGCCTGCGGCCTTAGAGTTCCTTGCCGATCTCTTAATTAGCTACGAGGGATTGTAGTAAATTGAATTTTATTGAACCAATCAGTAAATCATGATGAAACGTCACGTGCGGAAAGCATTGAAATACTGCATGTTTGCAATATTTATAGTATTCATCTGTACTATTGGTAGAGGAATCTTCCGAAATGACGGCATTGACGCTAGACATGAAGATCTTGATATCGGTTTTGAGCAAGTACTTGAGGTTGTTGAAAGGCAAGACGAGAAGCCGATTAATCGTAGGACCATGCCACGATTCGTGAACGATGCCGCTCGCCAGGCCGCAGAGGAGCAGGAAGTCAAACCCAATGTATTAGACGAACACATGGGTCTTGTACATGAAATGCATGATATAAAACTACACCAGCAAGAAATAGATGATCACTTTGCTGATGGAGAATTCATATTACCCAACAATCCACCAAAGGCTAAAATCTATAAGACAAAGAAAGATGACCTTAATGATACAAGAAAGTTGGGGGACCATCTTCTAAAGCCGAGGACATCATCATCATCATCAGAGGGTGTTGCTCATAATATCACCAAGGTAAAAGATGGTGTGAAGGACGACGTACGACAAGAACATCTACCAGACCTTCACAGACCTGCTATCAACAATGTAGCAGCGGATGGTTTACCAAACAAGGAGAATATAATCACAACAGAGGCTCCTCAACTTATCATCATTGATCCTGATAAATTTAAATTTAAGAAAGGTATTTAAACACAAACACGACTGTTTCTAAGATAAAGTCTTCGTGAAATATTTGACAAATATTCTATACCATTACTCAAATAAACATGGTGTTGTTTGTCGTTGTTTATCCGTTTTAAAATGTTATACTGGAATGCTTAGCTCGCTTCGAGGCGTAAAACTCAAAATAGAAATACAACACTAAATAGCCTAGTGAATACATGATGTGAATCGTTTGCGAGATGTGAGCGCATTTTCGTAACATGCCAAAGACCTTTTCAGCAGAATTCGGACACAATATTTTGTGTTCATAATTAAATAAGAGATGCCATTCAGCCTCCCCCCATTAAAGTAAAAAACCAATACCTATCCACACACTAAATGCATTTCAGATAATTGGTATACAGATTGTCATGTCAGTCTGCCTATGAGCATGATGAAAATATAAAGGTCCGTTTACACGACATTGTGAAAACCACTGTGTCAATTATCCAAAAACATTGTCGTTAAAACTTATTTATTGATTATAATTTCCTTGATGTAAAGCTGAAAATATTATTTCAACTGGCCATACAAAAGCTGTTCATCATGTTCATAAATACTTCATTCATGTTGGCATGTTTTGGGAGTGTTGATAAATATCTTGACAAATTAAAGGTTTTTCGTAAAGTGTTTGATGCCCGGCCCCCCCCCCCCCCCACTCAGTGTTATTTAGGGTACGCATATGCTCGTTCCCTCTTTTTGAAAACACCCCCTATCTGAGGACTGCCAACATTTCCGAACCCCCCTTTCGCGGGCTTTTCCTGCCTTGGAGACACCCCCCCCCCTGAATCAAGAAAAATGCTCAATGTACCCCCCTAAATTCGGAATAATTTCTCAGGATTCCAAAGAGATGAGAGAGAAAAAAGAAAAAACACCCCCTTTTTAAAGAAATCTCCGGGTGAAAAGTCAAATACACTCCTTTTTTTTACAATTCTCGGGCCGGACTTTGTCGCACGAAAAGTACCCCTTGACCGGACATTTTGGTAACACGCATGCGGTCATTCCGACCCCTGAGTGGGGGGGGGGGGGGGGGGGGGGGGGGCGGGGTTTGATGATATTCTTTCTAAAAGTGAATTTATATGACCAAGGTGCGTGCCGGTAATGGCTTATAAGTGTTATAAAAATTAATGTATGATTCTTAATTGCTCATCAATGCAAGCAAGTGTAAAAAATCTATAGAGTCTGTAATCGCAACAGGTGTTAACCTTATTGATTGGTTTGTATAGCTTCGAGCTTCATGGCGCACACGGTACACGATCTGTAATACAAACATAACATTGATCGCTAACAAAAGAGGATTCTAAGGGAAACTGATATCATTTATTTTATTGCAATTCCTTCCTTTTCCCTCTCTCTCTCTCTCTCTCTCTCTCTCTCTTCTTCTTCTTCTTCCTCTTTCTCTGTCTTCCTTGGATTATACCCTCAAACAATCTTTCTCCCGCACCCCCCCTTCTCTCTCTCTCTCTCTCTCTCTCTCTCTCTCTTCCCCTTCCTCTCCCTCTTTCTCTCTCTCTTTCTCGTTCTCTCTCACTCTTATTCGGGTATCCTTCATTCATTGTTAAAACAGAAAATCATAAACATGATAGAATGCAAGAATTCAAAGAACAGTGGTTATTACAGTGATTATAACATCACCACGTACATTGTAATGTTTTACATATCATAAGCCATGCTTGTGAGGCAAGGCCTTTTGACACTGCATGACACGGTTTCAAAGGAGACATCATATTGTGAAGAAGGCTATTTAGGGATTGCTTTAGGAAGATGATTTATATATTAGACGTTCAGTTGGTAGAGTTACACGTACATTGATATGAAGAGAGACATGTTACGTGAATAGGCTGTAATATCATTTGTGAAACGCACAGCGTATATCCCTTTAGGCAGTGAATGAGGCATACAATGGCTATGTGCAACGTCAAGCCTCATGGCTCAAATTTCAAGAGATTTAATATTTGTATTGTAAGGTTTATTGGCTCTGGTTTTGGATAAACCCTCATTTCTGACAATAGTATGTAGTGACAAATGCAGTTACACTCACTGTTATTTTTTAAAGCAAATACTGTATGGATTATTGAATTATGAACTACAAGATACACGGCGGGTGAAAAATTACACAAATAACTAAGGGTTTGATTAAAGGGATGGGGCTTATTGCACATAACATGGTTAAATAGATGGTGTTAGCTATATGATGCATCAGAATCCAGTACTGGATCCTAAATGATTTTACCCGAACGTCTGACATGAAAAATATAAGTAATAACATAATTTTGTATGTGAGAAGGGGACACATATTAAAATGTAATTAAACATAAATTGCTACATCAAAGTACTAAAATCGCCTAAACGTGACAGATATCACGCAACGGGGAAATTAAAAAAACAATCGATTTATGTGATTTCAAATGAATCGATCAAACTCAAATGGATTTAAAATAATGTTCTACCCCAAACAGAGCTTCCAGAGAGACTGTTTGATCCTGCTCATCCACTGGGAGAGATGGGTAAACCTGTTATCTTTGAAGGTGACATGAAGACCCATGCTGATGCTCTTTACCATAAGAATGCATTCAATCTCCTAGCTAGCGACATGATAGCATTCAATAGATCATTACCTGATGTGAGACCACAACAGTAAGTGAACATTTCATTTTTAAATTATAATAATAATAATAATAATTATAATAATAGCCTAATAATCCACTCCAAATTTTATTAAACCGAAACGGAAATTCTTTTTGCCCAATTGATCGTGAGCCCGGCAGCCACTGAGCAGCGCCAGATCGACGTTGCTCTATCCCTTATTGTTCAACGCCAAACAAGGTAGCAACAACTCCCATCTTTTAACGTCTTTTGGTATGACGCGGCCGGGGTTCGAACCCACGACCTGCATACGCTCTACTGACTGAGCCAACACTGAAAGTTAGATTTAGTTGCATTCACACATTTTCTTCTCTCATCCGACTTTGAGAACAGGCCTATAGTGAAATCATAATACACTAATCAGAGAGGCATGTTGATAGACATGAAAACGTGGCAAATAAACGCCTTTTTGAACAACTGTCCTGCGAAATGTGGACTATTATTGGCCAAATATTATTTCATCCACTCCTTTTTAATAATTATTGGTGCTGTTTGCAGACAGGCAATAATACGAGGACAGGTGTTCGCCTTCTCTTCAGTGTGATGGATACTCCACTGCTCATCAATTACATTGGAAGTTACACCCAAATAAACAACACGCACACACCCTACCACTCCCCAACACACACACACACACCTCTACCCCCTCCCCCCCCCCCCACACACACACACATGGACAGGTGTTCGCCTTCTCTTCAGTGTGATGGATACTTCACCAATTATCGATTACATTGGAAGTACATTACACCCCCCCCCCCCTCCCCAACTCCTCCCAGTTGGATATTGATGTGTTTTCAATAAAAACTCATTCACATAACATACCTTAATATTTTCCTTTTTTTATATTTTTAAGTTAATAATAATAATAATACTCAGTACTTTTATAGCGCATAACACATTACAGGATAGCATGTCCCTAAGCGCTTCAAATAGAAAGGAAAGAATTACAAGAAAAAGTCATACAAATTACAAAATCCACTTAGAAGCAAAGAAGTACATGCAGTGTTGGACGCTGAGTTCATGGGTGTACCCTTTTAACGTTGAATAAATACGTTTAAAGAGAAACCTTAAACTTGTTCAAATTATTGTGATTTCTCATGGAATCTGGAAGTGAATTCTTTAAAACTGAGGAGGCGTGTGTAAAAGAACGTTCACCGTATGTTTTAGTCATCCACATTCAGCAAAACTTGAATGGATCATCAAGTGGAAGAACTAGAAAATAGAATGCAAAATGCATTTTAATTTATTATTTAGACAGACATATTTCGTTGAATAGGGCGTCCAGCCATATTGGGGTAGGCCTTCTCCTTCACCCCCCCCCCCCCCACTCCCTACCACCACCACCACCATTCACCACTACCATACGACTGGAGACTAGCCCCTGGGGGAATAAACACCACCGATTTAAAGCCAGCTGAGCACACAGATGATATGACATTTGTAAATTTCATATTGAATAATTGGACTGCATATTTGCAGGTTCGTCTGGTCGATTCACAATTTTGACGTACGTCTTCATCAGAGAGACGTTTTGTATGAAAAGATATGAAAACTCAGCCTCATGGCTAGAGCAATTAGCATAATATATATTATAAATTCCGACGCTGGATATAGAATTACGATAGTAATGCAAATTATATATAAAAGGAATGACATTGCATACACGTTCTTACTTTATAGTTATTACACACAATTATTTGAGAATAATGTTAAATAACTATACCCATCTTCATAAAACCTAACTAAAAGTAAGTAAGTTTCACACAACTTCATAAATTATATTTAGTGAGTAGAAAAGTAGCCTAGTGAAGCTGTGTGGATACGGGTCCTGCTAGGCTCAGAAAATAACGGGATTTCCACGTGTTTTCCGGGAAGTGTTGCGCCGCCTCCTTCCCTATAGATAAATGATTACGCCACTGATTCTCATTTTATCTGTAGATGTAAGTCGCTGTTTTATCCTGAGGTACTACCTACTACCAGTGTCATCATCATTTTTCACAACGAGGCTTTCAGTGCTTTGCTCCGGACAGTGCATAGTGTTATCAACAGGTCACCTAGGCATCTTCTAAAAGAGATCATCCTGGTGGACGATGCCAGTACACAGGGTAAGTCCTATCTGGATCATTGATAGACCATTTTGAATAGAGGGTGGGGAGGGGGATAAAAACTTCTTCTGGTTGACGATGACATCACACAGGGAAGGTCCTATCTGGGGCATTGATAGACCATTTTGAATTGGAGGGGAAGGGGGCGTATACATCTTCCAAATGAATTCATCTTGATTGATGATGCTAGCACACACAGTACATAATAATTATCTTCATACCATGTACATTGTTAGACTATGTTCAATCGAGGGGTAGGAGTGAGGGTATAGGAGCCCCATTTTTAATAAGGAGCTCATTCTCGTTGATGACAGTGGTACATTGGACGCGGTCCAATCACTAGTTTTTAAAGACCATTCTTAATGGGCTGTCAGTACAAAATGGCTGACATGGAGGGGATGTTCTCATATTTTCGAATATGCTGAATTTACGTTAGAATATCCTCTCTTTTTTTCATTTACGAGACAGTTTACCTGCAGAAAATTATGAAAAAATTAGGCGTATTTGTTTTCTTTCTTTAAATTTGATATCTTGATTTTAGATGTAGTTATTTCTCTTAGTGTAGGTCTCAAATTTAGCATATTTAAAATAGATATTTTACTCATTGAGTATAACATTGAGTATAACATTATAACATCGATCTTTGAAGGGTTTGGTAGTAGGCTAGGAAAATTGTGGTTTGAGGTCAAACAAATTGCAATACAATATTTTTCACTGCAATGCATTTTAGTAAGGTCCCCCAAATGACATACTAAAAGTCCGACAAAATCCGTGTAGCGGAAGTGACCCTAATTTGCATAAATCCAATATGGCCGCTATTTCGAGGATTTTCACATAGATTTGTCATATTGTTCAACTTGTATGGGCTGTTGTGGCATTAAACAAATAGCAAAAAAATATTTTTTATTGCAATGCATTCTAGTAAGGTCCCCCAAATGACATACTAAAAGTCCGACAAAATCCGTGTAGTGGAAGTGACCCTAATTTGCATAAATCCAATATGGCCGCTATTTCGAGGATTTTCACATAGATTTTGTCATATTGTTCAACTTGTATGGGCTGTTGTGGCACTAAACAAATTGCAATAAAATATTTTTCACTGCAATGCATTCTAGTAAGGTCCCTAAAATGACATACTAAAAGTCCGACAAAATCCGTGTAGTGAAAGTGTCCCTAATTTCCATAAATCCAATATGGCCGCTATTTCGAGGATTTTCACATAGATTTTGTCATATTGTTCAACTTGTATGGGCTGTTGTGGCACTAAACAAATTGCACAAACATTTTTTTCACTGCAATGCATTCTATTAAAGTCCCCAAAGTGTCATACTAAAAGTCCGCCAAAATCCGTGTAGTGGAAGTGTGTCAAATTTACATAAATCCAAAATGGCCACCAATTCTAGGGTTTAATTTTCCTAGATTTGGTCAAATTATTCATCATACATACCTTTTAGCATACTTTGAGTGTACTTTGAAAGTCTAAAATGTTATTTCCTGGAATGCTTTTGTTTGCACAAGGTTTCATCTGCCCAGTTGCATGAGTGTTTCAATCTGCTTGAATTCAAAATGGCTGCCAAATTAAGCATTTTTGTAGAGAATTAATTATACTTATATTTCTTGTCCTATGATATATTCAGAATAATTGCGACAACGCTTATTCATGTTGTAAAATATTGTTATGTTTCAAATGTATCATAATTTGGTTCTTTAATTTGCATATACACATACATTTTCAAAAAAATGGGTTAATTTGCATACATTTTGTGTTGATTCTCACCTTATAGTGCATTTCAGAGCAGCTATAATAATGTTGGTGTACAATCCCAGTTCAGTTGTTTTTACAGGATGCAGATCATGAGGCCTACAGTTTGGTATACATATTTTAAGTTGATTAGAGTAATTGGTAGTCTCAAACAAACATACATTTATGTGGCATGCTGATTAGTAGTAGCATCAAGTTCTACATGTAGGTCTAATGGTGGTGAGTTGGTGCAACTAGTGCCGCGACAATCAATGCAGGCTGTTGAACATTGGAGGCCATACTTCCGGCACATGTATTTCTTGGCTGCACAGTCTTTCTTGCATCCACATCTGATGACCTTAAGGAGTGATGCGGGTGCTGGTGTTTTATCAGTTTTTATTGGAAGATATTCACCATCCATGACCTGCCAACTCAGTTTCCTGATGTCAGGTTGTCTGCCATTCCTGTCTATTCTGATATCTGATAGTACACACCCAGACTGAGGAACTTTGCTGCTGCTGAAGTTGGTGGCAAAGTCTTTGCTTCTAATAATAAGGCAGACAAGATTAAATGATACCTTTACGCAATACTTCTGTTGAGTCACCACCATACAGGCATACGAGTGTCTTCTATCCAGCTGTAATAATGGTCTCCTTCAGGTCTGATGCTGGCTGACGTACCATATGGCAAGCTCACAAAAGTCGTCATTCTTCATGATTTTCTTCAGTGCTGCACGCCTTATATATCCAAATATGTGAGACGTTGTCTGGCAGCACAGAAGCACATGGACAAAGAGAAAGTAGTTACACACACTACCTTCCTAGAGTTTCCTTCAGCTGTTTCATATTACATCTTCGGTTCTACTTGGAGTTTGCCTCGGGCTGATCAGGTGCAAACAAAAAGTCCTTCGCATTCAGATCAGCGTAGAAGATCAGCAAGATGAGAAGGTTTGTGTCATCACCGACAAGAACTGTGGCTTTAAAATTCTGCTGCATCACAATTAATTCCAGGAATCTGCTCCACATGGAACGCCTGGGTGCTGAACAACCTCTGGAAGTTCCTATAGTGATCACTATAGGAACTTCCGAAGGTAGACGACATTTCAGCAGGAGTTGGGTAAACGCGTCACTTGCAATTTTCTTTAGCTTGACGTCATTCTTTATACGGTGAGGCAGCAGTCCTTATGATCCTCATTTTCTCCTGCTTTGGTTTGTTGTTCTTTCCGTTCAGTTCAGTTATAACAATCCTCTCACCAAAGTGCCCCTGTATGTTCTTTTTCATGTATACCCTACTGTAGGCCTCATGATCTGTATCAAGTAAATACTCTTGCATCTTAGTGATCAACTACTGCTGTTTGTTCCTCATCCTTTTCCTCCAGGAACTTAATCACTTTAAGAATGCAGTCAATTTCACCTCATCCTTAGATCGGCCAGTTTTAGCCTTTTTGGAAGTGCTTGTGCTCACAGAGTATAACATTGGTATTTGTTTTTCAGTTTTAAAGTTCACTATGCATTGTTTATGGTATACAGCATCAACTGCGGGAAGATCGTTGACAGATGCAAGTCTTCTAGACACATTTTAGGACCAAGTATTATTTCTTTTCATGCATATTCCTACTATACAACTACAGTAATAGGACAACCAGTACCAGTACCACACCAGCAACTAAAACCCCCTTCCTATTGATGTAGGCTCATGTGTAGGCTTGTCTTTGTAGCACTGCATAGAAAGGTGTACATTATGTGACGTCATGAATTACAGGCTTAATTTGACATCTGAATTACCTTAGATGAAGTGGGGTGTAGTGACAAACTTTGATTAGTCATTGTGCCTATGTGGGGTCATATATTTTTTATTAAAAACATATATTGTATTCTGCACATTATAAGCTTTCCATCGATATTATAATGAAACTGTAATTGGGTGTTCAACTTTAAAGTTCTACAATGAATGACTATGAATGAAGCATTAAGCTTTATCACTGGATATCACACAATAAACGCTTTCAGGTCTAACTTAGTTGAATATTTGACAGAAATAGTGATTAGAGAGCGCAATACCGCAGTAATATTCTTGTATTGTGATGAGCCATGAGCATGCAATGTTTTTCACCTCTCTAAAGTAAACTGATGCAATGAGAACAACTTTTAACCAATCCAATGACAATGAGGATAATGTAAGTTGCAGGCTGTATCCCTACATAGCCCTACCACGTACCAGCAGCTCTTGTGTTTGTACGGATACTCATAAGGGCCAGTTTTTCTGAAGATTTTTGTTTGAGTTTTTTCAAACTAAAATGGCATGATTTTTGTGTTGCGTATTACAATATATTTGTTTATTGCATAATGAAATAACATCATCTGCTATTAAAGGTGAAAAATTGAGCATAAATTACATGTTGGATTGTGTGGGTGTGGGTGTGCGGGAGATTTGTTTCAGGTGTGTGATATACCTGTAGTATATGGGTATTTTAGTTGATAAAAAAAAATGTACAGCAGATCAGTTCTTCAACACCTTTAGTGCCACAACAGCCTATACAAGTTGAACAATACGACAAAATCTATGTGAAAATCCTTGAAATAGCGGCCATATTGGATTTATGCAAATTAGGGTCACTTCCACTACACGGATTTTTTCGGACTTTTAGTATGTCATTTGGTGGAACTTACGAGAATGCATTGCAGTAAAAAATATTTGTTTGCAATTTGTTTAATGCCACAACAGCCCATACAAGTTGAACAATATGACAAATCTATGTGAAAATCCTCGAAATAGCGGCCATATTGGATTTATGCAAATTAGGGTCACTTCCACTACACGGATTTTTTCGGACTTTTAGTATGTCATTTGGGGGACCTTACTAAAATGCATTGCAGTGAAAAATATTGTATTGCAATTTGTTTGAGGTTTACCTAAAAAATGTGATATCTTTCCTGGCCTATAGTAGTGATGTGATGGGTATTCACCTTGCTAATGATGTCTTTAACAATGCTATGAATGCTGCTCATTTATCAACGCTAAACGAACTGAACGTAAAACCTCTATGTATATCTCTTTACCTTGTGCAGAACATTTAAAAGTGAAGCTTGATGATTATATTTCTCGCCATTTTCACTCGTCTGCTCGGGTACGTATTGAACGGTTACCCACTCGTTCAGGGTTGATTAGAGCCCGTATCCATGGTGCTTTGAATGCTATCGGTGATATATTAACCTTTCTGGATTCACATTGTGAAGTCAACGTAGGATGGCTTGAGCCTCTTCTAGCTGTTATCGATAAAGACAGGTTCGTATGAATATTCGTATGGTTCTGTTTTTAGGTATAAATTTCATTTTTTATTGTCCAGTGGAAATTTGCTTTGCTCACAATTTGCATGCGAATTCACTTAACATAATAAACATACAGTCAAAAACTGAATTATTCATACCCTTGTAAATTTAATGTTTTTGAGTTGGTCTAATATTTACTGTCAATATTTGATTTGAAAGTAGAGGTGGGTATGTTTTATTCAAATCATTTGTGTTATCATATACAAACAGGATTGCATTCTTTATGTTGTATATATATATATATTATATATATATATATATATATATATATATATATATATATATATATGCTATTTTGAAATTATTGTCATCTGAGACAAGGTTTCACTAAAATGGCTTTTTTTTTATGTTATAACAATTGTAAAGTATTGCAATGTAAGTGGTGGTTTCATTCCAATATTTAGTGTAATTTATATCTTTATTCCGGCTGAACTTTCATTTTTGTTTCTTATTTTTTATGCTAATTCAATCCAATTTAAAGTAAGAGCGAACTTCAATTCATCTTATTCGTTTGTACAAAGTGCATTCGCCATAGACGATTCATTTTCTTCACACAAAATACAAGCTCTAGTGTGCGGAATAAAATTGTCATTTTTGTTGATATCATTGCTTTCATCATTTTCATCATCATTACCCTTTCATCACCATGAACCTTTGAAAGATATTAACATACACAAGTGTTTTTGTGAAGAACGAATCGGGGGATTAATGATTATTCTTCACAATCTTTCATGAGATGTTACTTTATGGTTTTGTATTTCTTATTATCCTTGTGGTTTAGGAGGAATGTTGTTACCCCTACAATAGATGTTATAGATGACAATGACCTAGCATACAAAGGGAGTGACCAACTCCCTCAGGTAATATCTTTTATTCTTACACTGTTAATTGTTATTTCTTTAAAAGAAATAGATTTGGCAAAAATGCAATAAAATATCTTTATATATGATAAAAAATTACACCTGCCTCTTTTTATTCTCTCTCTCTCTCTTTTATGCCTTTTTTTATGTCTGTCTCTCTCTGTCTCTCTCTCCATCTATTCCTCTCTCTCTTTCACTCCCTTGTTTCTCTCCCTCGACTACACTCTCACTGAAAAGTTTTCTGAATTAATTTCAGCTCTTAGTTCTCCCTCTCTCAATTATTGTATTGTCCATCTCTATGTTTTCATTCCTTGCCTACACTCCTATCTATGTTCAGTTTTCAAAAATACCTTTTTGTTCTTTTATTTGTCAAGGTCGGCAGTTTTGGTTGGACAATGGCTTTTCGTTGGACCGCGATACAAACCATGGATCTAGAAGAGGCGAAAAGAAACCCAACCTTACCAATCAGATCACCCACTATGGCGGGAGGGCTATTCTCCATAGATAAGGGCTACTTCATGGAATTGGGCATGTATGATCCTGGTTTTCAGATCTGGGGAGCTGAGAATATAGAGCTTTCTTTCAAGGTAAATCTTAGCTTTGCTCACTATCAAAACATTAAGACTGAGGAAAAGGACTAAATACAATGATAAGAAACTGTGAAGAGGTAGAGAAGAAAAAAAAGAGAAAATAAAGAACAACGAAAATACAGAGAGGCAGATACAATCCATGTAGCCCTGAAGGTGCCAGGTAAAAATGTCAGAGGTAAAAATGTCAGAGGTAAAAATGTCAGAGGTAAAAATGTCAGAGGTAAAAATGTCAGAGGAAAAAATATCAGAGGTAAAAATGTCAGAAGAAAAAATGTCAGAGGAAAAAATATCAGAGGTAAAAATGTCAGAGGTAAAAATGTCAGAGGTAAAAATGTCAGAGGTTAAAATGTCAGAGGAAAAAATGTCAGAGGTACAAGCAAAACAAATGAGTGCCGTCATAATATCTCAGCACTTTTATCACTCAGAATGTCGAGACGTACAGCTACTGCATGGGCTAGTCTATTATATTCCTTTCTAAATGGATGTGTTGTATATCGTACATGTCCTGAGGATAATATAATGTGGAAAATAGATTTTGAAATTTATTTTTTTGTGGAAGCAATCAGAGAAGGTTAATCATCTAGCATAAACATGTAAGTATTGGTGTGTAGTGCAAGGTTTTGGAGTCATCAAAATGATACAAAATTTGGCCCAGTCTTGGTAAAGTAACAAGCACTGTACACAGAAAGATATTGATATGGGACTACACAAACATATGGCATACAAATCGGGCAGCCATACAAAGATGTTACTTGTTATATCTGGGATATGAAGTCATTTGAAATAGATTTTCAGGGAATGACTTTTTTCTTTGATGTTCTATCACACTTGCATTGAACGCTCACAAATATTTTTTTTTACCTTTCCCCAGAACTCAACCTTCTCTTTAATTGATGTAACATGTGCGGCTTTCTGCTTTGTATCGGAGTAACAAAGCTGCTTATTGATTTTCTCCCAGACTATTTTATACCGCAATGGTAATCGACAATATTTTATTGCAACGCGCGCACTTCGGGAATGTGATGGTGCGGTTAGCATTGATAACATGGCTTTCTGCTTGTTTCAGAGTATCAAAATACCAAGCCCTCAAGAAGGGGTCTATTCGCTATTCATAAGGACCGCTATTCATAAGGTCCGCTATTCATAAGGACCGCTATTCATAACGTGGAAATTCCCGTACTTCCGGGTCCGCTATTCATAATGGCAAAAGAGGGTCACTATTCATAATGAAATAAGGTTCGTTAATCATAAGGACCGCTATTCATAACGTGAGATGAGGGTCGCTATTCATAATTCATATTAAGGGTCATTAATCATAAGGACCGCTATTCATAATATGAAATCAGGGTCGCTATTCATAATACGACGAGAGGGTCGCTATTCATAATACGAAATAAGGTTCATTACTTATAAGGGTCGCTATTCATAACACGGGAAGAGGGTCGCTATTCATAATACGAAATGAGGGTCGCTATTCATAATAGGAGAAGAGGGTCGCTATTCATAATAGGAGAAGAGGGTCGCTATTCATAATAGGAAATGAGGGTCGCTATTCATAATAGGAGAAGAGGGTCGCTATTCATAATTGGAAATGAGGGTCGCTATTCATAATAGGAGAAGAGGGTCGCTATTCATAATAGGAGAAGAGGGTCGCTATTCATAATAGGAGAAGAGGGTCGCTATTCATAATAGGAAATGAGGGTCGCTATTCATAATAGGAGAAGAGGGTCGCTATTCATAATAGGAAATGAGGGTCGCTATTCATAATAGGAGAAGAGGGTCGCTATTCATAATAGGAGAAGAGGGTCGCTATTCATAATAGGAGAAGAGGGTCGCTATTCTTAATAGGAAATGAGGGTCGCTATTCATAATAGGAGAAGAGGGTCGCTATTCATAATAGGAGAAGAGGGTCGCTATTCATAAAAGGAGAAGAGGGTCGCTATTCAATAGTAATTTTCAAAATGTCTGATAAAATAATAGGAGTAAGGGGTAGAAAGATATATAGCGGAAAGAACGTACATATTGGGCTTAGGGATTCCTAGAGTGCATAATGTCAGCATTCAACATTGCAAAGTCTCGCTTGGTCGCTACCCCCCCCCCCCCCTCGCCCAATAACACAAAACTATGTATGATATGACACTCGGCCCACGCTCCCGGCCGTGATTTATCCATGGTTGTTGCAATAATTTTTGTTCTTTACTATTTCTACTAACATTATTGTGTGCTATCACAATCATGATTGTTTCATTTTTCCTTTAAGGCAGGCGCGTAGAGTCGAGAATGGAACAACGAATCGTCTTCTTTCTCTAATAATTTCATTAAACTATGAAAGGTCAAAGCTTCCGCGCTTTGCGCGGGAGGGGGTGGGGAAACTCAAATCAGACAAAGAAAAAGGCTCGAGAATGGTACAACGAATCGCGGGTGGGGGTGGGAACTGAATTCAGACAAGGATTAATAATCGAGAATGGTACAACAAATCCTCTTCTTTCTCTAATAATTTAATGAAACATCAAAGCTTCCACGTTTTGCGCGGGAGGGGGAAAACTGAATTCAGACAAGGATTAAGAGTCGAGAATGGAACAACGAATCATCTTCTTTCTCTAATAAATGCATTAAACATTGAAAGGTCAAAGCTTACGCGCTTTGCGCAAGAGGGGGGAATAGAATTCAGACAATTATTAAGAGTCGAGAACGGTACAACAAATCGTAATTTTTCTCTAATAATTAATGAAAGGTAAAAGCGAGGGGGAAAACTGAATTCAGACAAGGATTAAGAGTCGAGAATGGTACAATAAATCGTCTTCTTTTTCTAATAATTAATGAAAGTTCAAAGCTTTCGCGCGTAATGGGTGGGGGAGGGGAGGGGGGGGGACAGCAAGCTGCCCGAATATGAATTTTTGATATCTTTTCTCGTTTATCTTGGTGATAAATAACACTTTCACAAAAAACATATAATGCTCAAATTTTTGCTCGCTCGTTTCGCTCACAAGCAGAATTGTGAACTAGAAAATTACCTTTTCGGGCAAGAGGCTTTAGCCCCCCCCCCCCCCCCCCGATGAAAATGTCAAAAAAATGTATATCTTAAAAACGGGGAATGTTGACAAGAGACGTGAAGTGAGCTTGCACCCCTTTCCAAAATTGTTCCTGCTTCTAGGTACCCGTATCGTGCTTCTAATATGACCTTGTCAGTATTGGTATGTTGAGTTGAAAAAACGTTCTGCGCATTTTTCAAATTTCCGTCCCCCCCCCCCCCAAATTGGAAAATTCTGGATCCGCGCCGGGGCGTACTGATGAGGGGGGGGGGGGGGCTCGCATTATGAATAGCAACCCTCATTTCATATTATGAATAGCGACCCTTATTTCTTATTATGAATAGCGACCCCCTACTCCTATTATGAATAGCGACCCTCTTCTTCTATTATGAATAGCGACCCTCATTTCTTATTATGAATAGCGACCCTCTACTCCTATTATGAATAGCGACCCTCTTCTTTTATTATGAATAGCGACCCTCTTCTCCTTTTATGAATAGCGACCCTATTCTCCTATTATGAATAGCGACCCTCTTCTTCTATTATGAATAGCGACCCTCTTCTCCTATTATGAATAGCGACCCTCATTTCTTATTATGAATAGCGACCCTCTACTCCTATTATGAATAGCGACCCTCTCCTTCTATTATGAATAGCGACCCTCTTCTCCTTTTATGAATAGCGACCCTCTTCTCATATTATGAATAGCGACCCTCATTTCTTATTATGAATAGCGACCCTCTACTCCTATTATGAATAGCGACCCTCTTCTTCTATTATGAATAGCGACCCTCATTTCTTATTATGAATAGCGACCCTCTACTCCTATAATGAATAGCGACCCTCATTTCTTATTATGAATAGCGACCCTCTACTCCTATTATGAATAGCGACCCTCTCCTTCTATTATGAATAGCGACCCTCTTCTCCTTTTATGAATAGCGACCCTCTTCTCATATTATGAATAGCGACCCTCATTTCTTATTATGAATAGCGACCCTCTACTCCTATTATGAATAGCGACCCTCTTCTTCTATTATGAATAGCGACCCTCATTTCTTATTATGAATAGCGACCCTCTACTCCTATAATGAATAGCGACCCTCTTCTCCTATTATGAATAGCGACCCTCTTCTCCTATTATGAATAGCGACCCTCATTTCTTATTATGAATAGCGACCCTCTACTCCTATTATGAATAGCAACCCTCTTCTTCTATTATGAATAGCGACCCTCTTCTTCTATTATGAATAGCGACCCTCATTTCTTATTATGAATAGCGACCCTCATTTCCAATTATGAATAGCGACCCTCTTCTTCTATTATGAATAGCGACCCTCTTCTCCTTTTATGAATAGCGACCCTCATTTCTTATTATGAATAATGACCCTTATGAATAATAACCCTTATGAATAACGACCCTCATTTTGCATTATGAATAGCGACCCTCATTTCGTATTATGAATAGCGACCCTCATTTCGTATTATGAATAGCGACCCTCTTTCTGTGTTATGAATACCGACCCTTTTGTAATATTATGAATAGGGACCCTTATGAATAACGACCCCGATTTCCTATTATGAATAGCGACCCTCTTTTAATATTATGAATACCGACCCTCTTCTTTGATTATGAATAGCGGTCCTTATGAATAATGACCCTTATGAATAATGACCCTTTTCTCCAATTATGAAAAGCGGACCTTATGAATAGCGGTCCTTATGAATAATGGACCTTATGAATAGCGGACCTTATGAATAGCGGTCCTTATGAATAGCGACATTGACCCCTCAAGAAAGTGGAATTGTCGGAAATATGCATTTATTGGAAATTACATATAATAGTAGACATTGCCACGCAGTTAAAATGTCCAACAATCTTCAAATATGAAGGAGAAGTAGGAGGGGGAAGGTTCATAGATATCTGATCCTATTTTGGGGGCTGTACTGACTTTTCTTTTTATTTAATGATTACACCATGGAGCGACAACTCAGCCTATAAAACATGGCCAAACTTCTCGATTTTAGAAATCTTTTTCCCCGAAGTTTGCTCAGTGTACCAGTACCATTTGCTTATACAAAAATATAATATACCGGTATATAAATATTGAATAAGGCAGACTAATGGGACATGGATGGTGTACTCCGAGTTTCACGCCTTGCAAGCGGTCATCAGACAACTGATAGCATTCTTCAAAGTACATGATTCCTCTACAACCAGGGCTCAAATTAATTTTTTGTCCACGGGGGCTCTTCCCCCCCAAAAAGAGCCCCCGTGAGCCTTCTCACGGGGGCTCTTTTAGTACTGACGGGGGCTCTCTGTTATACAAATATCCATTGAATTGGTACCTATGATACTCCTCAATTATTTGCTATTTCATCATTATCATTTCAATCAGCATTTTCCCTCTTACAAATTTACAAGCTACATAGCTGTTACTGGCCTGTGTAATATAATATATACGTATACAACACTGATCTTTATGATGTCTTTAACGTGACATATCTTCTTCTCCCCTTGCAAACGAGAAAGAAAACAAGGTCATTAAAAGGGATTAAGCGACAAATAATGATTGTGATTCAAATTGATGCGAATATTTGTTTGAATAAGCACTGCTATTCACCCGAATCTTCTTTGTAAAAACAACTTTTACAAATCTCAGCCATGCTTACTGAGTTGAGACGTTCCATTCAATGTAAAATACTCATTACAGAATACACTTCTCCTAATCTGAAAGTAATCTTACAACACAGTGGCAGATTTGAATGGCTTAGATTTGTAAAAGTCGTTTTTACAAAGAAGATTCTGGTGAAAAGCATTGTTTATTCAAAAAAAATCCTTGCATCAATTTGAATCACAATGATTATTTGTCGCATGATCCTTTTATTAAATAACCTTGTTTTTTTTTTAATGATTACACCATGGAGCGACAACTCAGCCTATAAAACATGGTCAAACTTCTCGATTTTAGAAATCTTTTTCCCCAGAAGTTTGCTCAGTGTACCAGTACCATTTGCTTATACAAAAACATAATATACCGGTATATAAATATTGAATAAGGCAGACTTATGGGACATGGATGGTGTACTCCGACTTTCACAGCTTGCCAGCGACAACTGATAGCATGCTTCAAAGTACAAGATTCCTCTACAAAGACTACAACCTTGGTATACGCTCAAAATAAGACTTAACTAATACAATAAGACAGCGGTGAAATAACGACTGCAGAATATCCCTCGCTGTTCTTTTTCGATAAGCCTGATATATAACCCGGGTGTAAACATAACAAACTTGTCACATGCTTTTGTTTTTATTTTATACCTCTAACATTTTTACCTCTGACATTTTAAACTCTGACATTTTTACCTCTGACATTTTACCTCTGACATTTTTACCTCTGACATTTTTACCTCTGACATTTTACCTCTGACATTTTTACCTCTGACATTTTTTCCTCTGACATTTTTACCTCTGACATTTTTACCTCTGACATTTTTACCTCTAAAATTTTAAACTCTGACATTTTTACCTCTGACATTTTTACCTCTGACATTTTTTCCACTGACATTTTTACACCGAGCCACCCTGGAAGCCAACCATCATTTAAACAGAATGTGAAATAATGGTGATGGTGATATTATAGGCCTTATCATAAATAGAAATAACAACATGATGTATCATAGTGAAGGTTATACAACTGGCGCCTATTGCTGGAAAGGAGTTAGAAGTAAATACGAACAAATAAGATAAGTTTCAAACAAATATTGATAAGAAAAAAGAAGGGGAAAACATACCTTGAATCCATAGAAGATGTAGAAGTAGTATGAAAAGAGCAAAGGAGAGCTTAAAAAGAATGAAGGTGATACTGACATTTCGTAATTAACGACAACCTTCATGATTATGACAGTCTTCACTAAACGATGGCGTCTAGATAAACAGTATGGACTGATTGCTTCGTTGCGTTACGAAAATAGTTTCTTCGTATTAATTTAACTGCATTGACGGTTTTGCACTTTTAAGCACTCCGTAAATCAGGAGAATTTCTTTCTACTTCCTTGGGTGCATTCCGGGTTGTCAGAAATTAGGGGAATATTTTTCTGGTAAATTCTTCCCATAATTTTTCCCTCAGAATACAAGTCTCGGATGGACACGAGCAATGGGGGCAGAATATCCTCCAGACAGAATAGTGCATAGATTTATTTAAATGGGAGGGGGGGGCTTGCGCTTCGGTCTATTTCTAACGCATTAGCTACCTTAGTCTTGGTTTAACCATAGACCAAAGGGACTGTGTTTAAATGAGTACCAAATTATTATTATTTTTTTACAGACGTGGATGTGTGGTGGATCTCTGTATACCATGGCCTGCTCACACGTGGGTCATATCTTCCGCAAGTTTGCACCTTACACTGGCATGGGCAGTTACTTTCACCGTAACAACAAGCGCCTCATTGAAGTATGGCTAGGTGATGCACGTGCTTTCTACTATAAACTGCATCCAGATGTGATGAGGATAGATGCTGGTGACATTCAAGATCAGATTAATCTTCGTAAGAAGCTGGATTGCAAGTCATTTGACTGGTATCTTGATAATGTATTCCCAGAATCACCCTGGCCGAGGAAAGGAAGCATTTTCGGGTTTGTAAGTAAATCAACTTTCAGGTTCGAATTCATTGAGTATAGTTTAGCTGAATAGACCGGCATGTTGTATGCATACTGTTTAAAGAAAGGTTTGTCTTGACAACATGTAAGCTTACCTTAGGCTTGCCCGACATAGCAACATATAATGTATGCAGACTGGATTCAAAGTATTGTTGTCCATTCAGATTAATGGGCTACCTCACCACTATTAATCCAAAGATAAGAAACATCCATACATTTGAATTGTGTGTAACTTGATCAAAAGGCTAATACTAGTTTCCATTGTCAGTCTTTTTGTTTTGCACTGGTTTTGTTTTCTTATGTATTGTATTGTTTTTTGTTTTTTTTTATAAATTGTATATTTATTTCATTATTTTTATACAGCACTCTCTTGCAAATCAGTTTTATGTACTCAAAAGACTACTCTGTATAAAGAACAAATAACAAATAAATAAATTAATAAATTGAATGCCCTTTCTTTATTTCTACAAGCCATAGAAAGTAATAACATCAATATGTGCAGGTAACGAAGAAATGTTTGAGAAAAGCGTTACTTAAGTCGGGCAACATCATGCCCAGTGGCGTTATTTCCATCTCCTCACATTCTCAATAACTCTAGTATAACAAGAAAAGTAAAATTCATATCATTTATCAGTTGCCCGCAATTAACTTGTGTGGATTAACTGAAATTTTATACTGCTACCAATTCAAAATATGTCGAATGTGATTATAAATAAGCACAGAAATCTGTTAAGATAGAAATATGTTGCTTTGATAGACCACTGCGCATGTCTTTATATCCCACTTGGTATGTTACTTTCTCAAAGAGATAGGTTGAAGTAAAGCTTATTTTACTTTATTCTCAGATACGGAATCCTGACTTTAACATTTGCCTTGACAAGAGAGCTGATAAGAAGATCACAGGAAGTCCGTGTGGACCATTCAATGAAAAACGGGTAGGTGACCGATTTGCTTCGTAATGACTTCAAAATAAAGAGAGATCTACCCCTTACTCTTTGAGAAGAAAACTTAAGAAAACAAAAACATATGGGGGGATAGCTTGAATATTAGGGTAATCTATCTGTTTAACCCTTCAAATTTTATTAACAATCAGCATTTACTTTGACTTTGAAAAGTTTAGATGATGGTTATCCAAAATAAAGTTGTTTACTATTTTGACAATAATGTTATGTAATGAATGTAATGTAATGATAATAATATTAAACAAAGATAACTATTGCATTAGCACATTATTATTACATCACTGTATTGATACATCAGCAAAAAATGAAGATACATTTATCTGCAATTGCGATTACTGTAGAGATATCGTGGTCTTGTGGATACGTCCTGGGACCAGGGGCGTCGCCAAAGGGGGGTGCAACACCCCCCCCCCGCCTGTCAGGATATTGTCGGTAAAATTGCGCTGCCGTCGGGAAAAAAGAGAAAAGGGGGAGGGGGAAAAAGAGAGGGAAAAGGAAAGAAAAGAAAAAAAGAAAAGGAAAAGAAAGGAAAGAAAGGAAAAGAAAGGAAAGAAAAGTAAAGAAAGGAAAAAGGGAGAGGAAAGGAAAGAGAAGAGAAAAAAAGAGGGAGGAGAGGAAAGAAAAGAAAAGAGAAAAGAAAAAAAGGGAAAAAGGAAGAAAAAAAAGAGAAAAAGGAAACAAGGGAAGGTAAGAGCCTGAGAGAGGGTGGGTGGGAGTAAAAGAGGGGGATTGTTGGGTGGAGCCGTCTCGTCGAGGGAGCAAGAAAGACACGCATAAATATATTGCTATGTCGGGTCAGCTGTGTCGGTATTCTTGCTCGATCCTCGAGTACTATATAAGTGCAGGAATTTGAAGTTGATGAGATGTATAATGTCGGTTGGCCGACAAGTTTTTTTTCCCCTACTAACTGTGACTTTTATCCGCTGTGACGACATCGAGAGAGACTACAACTATAATACTTGTATTTTCTAGAAGTTTGACTTTCCTATAATATCAGCTAAAGAAATCAGAGGTTTAAAATTTTCGGGTAAACTAGATTCAAACAAGTAATAAGAGTCGAGAATACTACACCGAATCGTCTGCTTTCTATAATAATTTAATGAAACGTCAAAGCTTCCGCGTTTCGCGCGGAAGGGTGGAATCTTCATTCAGATAAGGAATAAGAGACGAGAAAAGTACAACGAATCGTCTGCTTTCTCTCATAATTTAATGAAACGTCAAAGCTTCCGCGCTTCGCACGATTGGGGAAACTGATTTCATACAAGGGTTTAGAGTCGAGAACAGTACAACGAATCGCCTTCATTGTCTAATAATTTAATGAAACGTCTAAGGAGGAAACTTCATTCAGACAAGGATTAAGAGTCGCGAACGGTAAGACGAATCATCTTCTTTCTCTAATAGTTTAATAAAACGTCAAAACTTCCGCGCTTCGCACGGGAGCGGTAAACTAAATTCAGACAGGGATTAAGAGTCGAGACCAGTAGAACAGATCGTCTGCTTTTTCTAATAATTTAAGGAAACGTCATAGCTTCCGCGCTTCGCGCGATAGGGGGAAACTGAATTCAGACAATTAAGGATTAAGAGTCGAGAATACTACACCGGATCGTGTGCTTTCTAAATTAATTTAATAAAACGTCAAAGCTTCCGCGCTTCGCGCGATTGGTGGAAACTGAATTCATACAAGGGTTTAGAGTCGAGAGCAGTACAACGAATCGTCTTCGTTGTTTAATAATTTAATGAAATGTCTAAGCTTCCGCGCTTCGCGCGGATGGGGTAACTGCGTCAATAATGTTCTTTGACAAGATATTCATCTACATTTGCCACTCTGTACTCATGAAATGGGTATCCGGTGTGAAATAATTCATCAAATGCCAGAACGTCTTATCAGGGTAGCTCGGCTAATACCAATGTAGGTCTAATATTAATAGTACAGCGTAAGCGCTATATAAATGTTGTGATTATAACTATATGATTATTATTATCATTAATATTATTATTATTATTAGTAGTAGTAGTAGTAGTAGTAGTAGTAGTAGTAGTAGTAGTAGTAGTAGTAATAGTAGTAGTAGTAGTATTAATAGTAGGAGTAGTAGTGGTAGTAGTAGTAGTAGTAGTAGTAGTAGTAGTAGTAGTAATAGTGGTGGTAGTAGTAGTAGTAGTAGTAGTAGTAGTAGTAGTAGTAGTAGTAGTAGTAGTAGTAGTAGTAGTAGGAGTAGTAGTAGTAGTGGTGGTAGTAGTAGTAGTAGTAGTAGTAGTAGTGGTGGTAGTAGTAGTAGTAGTAGTAGTAGTAGTAGTAGTAGTAGTAGTGGTGGTGGTAGTAGTAGTAGTAGTAGTAGTAGTAGTAGTAGTAGTAGTAGTAGTAGTAGTAGTAGTAATAGTAGTAGTAGTAGTAGTAGTAGTAGTAGTAGTAGTAGTAGTAGTAGTGGTGGTGGTGGTGGTGGTAGTAGTAGTAGTAGTAGTAGTAGTCGTAGAAGTAGTAATAGTAGTAGTAGTAGTAGTAGTAGTAGTAGTAGTAGTAGTGGTGGTGGTAGTAGTAGTAGTAGTAGTAGTAGTAGTAGTAGTCGTAGAAGTAGTAATAGTAGTAGTAGTAGTAGTAGTAGTAGTAGTAGTAGTAGTAGTAGTAGTAGTAGTAGTAGTAGTAGTAGTAGTAGTGGTGGTGGTGGTGGTGATAGTAGTAGTAGTAGAAATATAGTAGTAGTAGTAGTATTGTTAATTTTCCTATTTTATTTTACTACAACTATACTGCTACTATAATTCACCTTCTCACGTTAATATTTGAGTAACCTGATTCGCAGAAATGTTCAAGTTCTGAGAAAATTAGTGTTTGATTTCCTCTTTTTAAATCAAGCTCCTTGCAATTTGAAATAGATTTACATATTCTTTAAATTCTCTCGTAGCTGTGGGAGTACACCAGCCTCAATGAGCTGAAGCAAGAGTTAGATTGCATTGATTACACTGGAGAAGGAGCAGAATTATCCACATATCACTGTCACAAGGGCAAAGGAAATCAGCTATGGACATGGAACAATTCGGTAATGTGTCTAAAGATTTACAATTGAATCAATGAAGTAATTAATTCAAGGAACATATTCATTTGGGCTGTGTCTCACGAAACCGTCATAAGTAGGCAAAGTTTAGCGACATCCTATAAACGCGTGTTAAACTTAATATACGCGTTTGAAAGGGATGTCGGCAAACTTGTACTTATGACGGTTGCATGAGACGCAGCTCTGGTCACAAATTATTAATTTAAAAAAATTACTTACAGCTTCATAATCGAATTCCAAAGCAAACTAGACAACTAAAATGTTGCCCACAATGTTGAAATGAATTATTCTTTACCACTTTTCATGAAATAATTGTTACGATATGATTTATTCTTGATATATAAAGTTAATATCTTCTCAGAACTTTATTGATCAGTCTCAATGGCCATAGGCAGACAAATTGATCTTAAACAAAACAAGGAAATAATACAAAATGGTTTGCAGAAAAGAATCTACACTCACGATAATGATCTCAAAAAGCTTAAATGATTACTTCGGAGTCTCGTACATATCAATATTGTTATATTTTTACCGTTGTTCTATCATTATTACTTTACAGACAAAGCAAATACGTCACGGTTATCATAATGCATGCCTTGGAATACAGTTTACAGACAAGGGTTCTACGAGGATAGAGATGACGTCATGTTTAGAATCAAACCCTAATCAACGATGGGAAATGCCTCCTAGATTTGACCCAGAATCGTGGAGGTAAACCCCTCAAAATAGGTGAACATGCAAGCAAGGTTCGAGAAGATTTTTTCTGTTGTTATGGGGGTGGGGCGCTTTGGGGTTTTAAGTCTTATGGGTTAATAGATTCCATTCAATACGAACGTTGCTTTCATTCATTATAAACAAGACAACTGGGGAGGGTATTGAGCACCCCAGGCACCCCCACCCCCACCTCCTTTTCTAGACTACCGCTTCTGTGCTGAAATTTACCTGCCTCATGTGTCTTAAATTAATCTATGATCTAACTTGTTAAAAGCGTACTAAATACTCGAGCCGTGCATATTGACAAGTTCAAAAACGTAATCGGTGAATTACATCTAAGTCATTTGTGTTATTTGGGATGGATTCTTAGAGCGTTTCAGAAATGTACTTATTTCATCTTGTTTATTTGCTTAATATTTCGATCCATGTTTTATTTCTTAAAAAGAAAACAGAAATACAGAAAATGAAAAAGTTAAGAGGCTAAACAGGAGGCCATCCAAATGAAACATGAAGATCGTGATGTGCTGTTATGAATCGAAATATTCACAAAGGTTGCTAAATACGTTATTCATTTTAAATTAAAACTCCAACAATGTTAGAGGAAATGTAATTCGGAAATGCAGCTACAGTATAATACATTTTCTGTGCTCTGATCTATAATATACAATATCTCAAATCTATTATATATTTTAACAAATTTATATTTGAAAGTCCTAGATAACCTAATTATGTACTGCGCCTAGAAACAAAGTATTATGCGCATTATAAATGTGAGCTATTATTATATATCATTGTACATTATAATTGTATCCAATACGATTGACATTGTCCGAAAGTTTTAAACATAGAGAAACTTGCAATATTCTATGTGCAATATATTTTGTTCTCCTGTTGAGGAATAACTCCATTGTTTAGAAATGAAATGTGATGTTATTTTTATATTGATTGTAAATTGTCATGTAATTCAGCTGAGACTGCGAAATGATAATAATAAAAACAAACTGAGCTGAACTGAAACTGAAGTATTGTAACATCGTGGGCTGTGGGTATTGATGGGGTTGGCCGGGAGAATTTGCTGCTGATTTCTTCCCTCTCATGATAGATTCATAGAGTAACTTTACGACATTGTATTCACATTCTGTATTATACGATAACAAGTTTACGGAGTAAAAATCTGCTCTATAGTATTTTTTGGTCATGTGTTTCGCCAAAAGTGCGGCATTCTCTTTTCCAGTGTAATATGTGTATTCGAATAATCTGTGAAGCGACTCCTTTGTGTTAGGTCTGGTTATCATCTTTGTTGAAGCCTATTAACTCGTCATTGCATGCAAGATAATGCTTCTTCTCAGCTTCAAATACATCCACTCTGAACCATCCATCTCCCATGATGCTACCTACACTTGGTGATAGAGCCTTGCTGCTCCAAAACTGTGGAATACCCTACCCATATTTCTTCGGATCTAGCAATATCTCAATACTTTCAAAAATATCTCAAAACTCACTTCTTTTGTTAACAATTTAATTGTAAAGCGCATTTGAACATGACTATATGGCGGTAAATACGCTATTTAAATACATTATCGTTACTATCATTACTATTATAGTAGTAGTAGCTATAGTAGTCATTATCATTATCATTATCATAACAACTATTTTTATTAATAAAATGCTATCCATAATGATGCCAACAGTCAATTCATATACGATCAAACCTGTTTAGTGGCCACCTCTGTCATATCGTTTTCTTCCTTAAAATGTATTTTAGATCCTCTCTAGAAAGGCCACGTGTGTACAATTGCCATTTTTTATGTTTCCAATTGTCAGCCATTACAGCGGGTTTCACTGTATATGTCTACATAAATGTATTTCTTGGCATTAAGCCAATTTCATAGAACCAAAGACACTTTAATAATCATATCATAACCATATCTGCCTTTGCCTTTGAGGTTGTTTCTATTTAGCATATTTATATTTTGTTTCGCTCTGTTTTGTTTCTTTTTTTTAAATGATAATCCTATTCATATCATGACTCTATTTCAGTACATTATTTGAATTTGAAATAGACTGAGAACATTTCTAGAAGGGCAGCCCAGCGATATGAAGACCGTTATCGACACAGATAATCTCGCCTGTAATAAAGCTACTCTCGTCTGATGCGAGAAAAGTGATGGTTTTGAGCACGTCATCGACGGTAGGAGGAGACTGGTTGAGTGGGGCTTTACGAGGTTCCTGGTACGGCTGATGAAAAAAAGATTAAAAACGAAACAAATAAAAACAATCGATTTTGTATTAAACCATAAATGGATCTAATCAACGTCTGCAGTGAGCCAGAAAAACACTGTTTGGATGAGGCCTTACTGGCTCCCATACAGCAGAGTATCTGATAACTAAGAGCACGAGAAAATAAAAATCCCTAATTTGGCATTGAAATCTAATTAGTCACCATGGTTATTTATTTGTTTGCCTTAGCGGGTTCATATAGGACTTTAACTCATCCTAGCTGGGGCAGTATTAATTCGTTTGTGTATCGTCATTAAAAAGAGGACTGACAAACGTTTTCAAAATATTGTATATCACTCTTTATACTGCTGGATCGAATAGACTACAATGATTGTCTTCAGTATGTTAAACTGCTTTCAACATACCAACAATCCTTGGACTTTTTTAATTGTGTTTTGACTCTTCTATTCTTTATTTAGTAGTTTACACAGATATAGTTATATACGAGTTTGTACTCTGAAGCTTCTTTTTTTTTTCGTATTTATATAGAGACTATCGGTCAGTTTTACTGAAATAAAACCCAGTTATGTGAATTGGGAAGAATTATACAATGACATTGTCCTCTTTTTTCTCTTTTTGTGTGTGTTTTGTCTAACTTATCGTTTGTGTTTTTTCTGCAACTACACACAAATACAATGTGATTCATACATAAGATATCCCCGGGGTGCTATAGTTATTGGAACTGCAAGGCGGTGCATAAAATAGTTACCTATTGTCATCTTGTGTGACGGTGAAACCTAAAATTCTATAAATAAAATGTATATCTCTATTCCCTACAAGTTGTTAACCCCATAATCTATCAACACAGCAGTTATCAAGATATTACGATTCTTACCTTAGCAGAAGGAGGGTCCAAAAGACTTTCAAATACATCCACTGACGGACTGGATGAAAATGAATGAACGTACAAAAGATTTTCCGTCAATATAATCAACTAACACGTAGACAGTTCTTTTAATTAAATTCATTTAATATAACGCTGGTAACAATGTAATTTCCTACTAGTAGTTCCAAGTAATGTATAAATCTTCATGCAAGCTATCTACAACATCGATATAAGGTTAGCGACAAAATATATTAAACAATACATTTCAAGTTACACTAACCTTTTAATTCATGACTTTGATTTCGTATGATTCCCTCTGCCATACGAACATTTTTGAAAGATGGATTATAACTGGTAGAAAGAAATGGGAATTACTTGAGAAAAAAAACTGCCCCCCCCCCTAATCTCGTCTCTCTCTCTTTCTCTCTCTCTCTCTCTCTCTTGCTCTCTTTCTCTCTCTCTCTCTCTCTCTCTCTCTCTCTCTCTCTCTCTCTCAGTCTCACTCTACCATTTTGTTTCTCCCTCTATTATCCATTATTTTATTAATTGCAATCTCCCAAATTGATTGGTCATCGTAGCAAGTATATTGCACAGAATGATAACAATACTACTTACCTTACAGCATTGACGCGTATTCCCTTTGGAGCAAGCTCTATATTAATATGTGATAACAATAGATGAATTAATATGACAATCATATGTTGAATCACGTTTTTAACGCAAGTTTGAAAACCGATCTTTGGCGGAACGTACTGAATAAATATTATAGATTAAAGAAAGTTGATGAAAGAAAGTTTGTCATTTGAAATTTGAAGATATTGAATAAATCATTAATCTAATTTTTTTTTAAATCACAAGTGAAAAAAAAATTATTTCGCTGAAAGCAAACTATCATCCAAATCTATTTTTAATCACAATGCATTATTTTACTAAATAGTTTGTTTGTTCTTTACCTATGGCTGTACACTGCGTGAAGTAGTTAATTGAAGACATGGCCATACCGAATGCGAGTAGACTGGGCGACTGTTGGATAGAAATGAATTAATTTGGAAGCTAAAGATGAAATCATGAAAATAATGCAATGCACTTTGTTTTGCAATCCATCCCCAGCTGTCACATCTGTATGAGATGTAGATGCGATTGATTCAATTTAATCGCACTTAAAATTAGTCGTAGCTGTGTGATAGGAGTTAATTGCACTCGACTCAGGTGAGGTTAATAGGTACCTGGCAGGAATTTATTCCTTGAAATGCTGGAGTGCTGGAATGCAGCTAGGCTATAGCCTGGGTAATTATTAGTGCGCCTCGGAATAGAACTATTTTCTAGATAGACGGCGCTATAGAAATTCCTATTATTAATTAGGATATAATCAATTTCAAGTTGTATCCATTACCCATGCAGAACTCCCTCCCTCCCTCCCTCTCCAACCTTCTCCCCACCCCCTCCTCGACCATACATCCCCTCTCCCCCTCTCTCTCTCTCTCTCTCTCTCTCACTCACTCTTTCCCTATCACTTTCTTTTTCTCCCTCCTCCCTTTCTCCTTTCCCCTCCGTATTCTTCTCTCTCTCTCTCTCTCTCTTTCTCTCTACTTTTTTTTTTAGGTATACATGTTTCATTCTTCTTTCTTACCGTTCGATGTGCACAACTGCATGAAATATTGATGACCACTCCTGTAATAAAATAAAAATGTATTAAAAGAATGATTCAGGTAGCCTACTTTGAAGCCTCAGGAAACGCCATGAATCAGTAACAGATCAAGGTTGTTGTGTTTTAGATAAATTAAAGTGAGGAGGTGCACCCGGCGATCGAGCTACACAT